ATTGGCACCGGTCTCGATCCAAAAATCGGCCGTCTAGGCCTCCGTCCGGGCCATTTTCTGCCTTTCGGTAAAATCCGTTACTCATTTTAAGAAAAATTCGATGGAAGAGATAAAAACAAGAGGATAATAACAGTCCTAAAACAAATAAATATCCCGACTATTTGAAATGATATTAGTAACTCAACTTTTTTTCAGCTAGTTATACGGCCTCGATCCTATAAATTTTATGAAAAGTAAACGTTATTGAAAAATTTGTACAGTGGTTCGTGCATAAGAGCAATACATATTGGTTATACCGCTCAATTTTTTTCTTTTTGTTTTTTTATCAGTGTCGAGTAAGCGTTAAAAATTACAAATCGAACGACTTTAGATCTATTTCAAAAAAAAAAAAAAAAAAAAAAAAAAAATTGTAGAAAATGTTTGCAAAAATTTAAAATTTGAGGAGAGATGGCATTATGTGACTCCTGTTGGTAAGAAAGGAGGGTTGTTATTATGTTGGTCTGGTAGAGTCTCCATACAGGAGATTCAGTGGTTTGATTTTTGTACAGAGATTAAATTCCTCATCAGTGGCTATGATGAGACTTTTTGGGGGGCTTTTGTTTATGCTAGCACTGACTCTCAAATTAGGCAGGGCCAATGGGAAGTCTTGGTTAGGCACAGCCTCACATGGGGTGAGCATTGGTTTGTGTGTGGAGATTTTAATGATCTCCTGTCTAACACTAAGAAGAGGGGTGGTGTTTGGAGGGAGGAGTCTAGCTTTAGAGCCTTTAGGGGGTTTGCAGGCCATGGGAATGATTGAACTCAACTTAGTTGGGGATCAATTTACCTGGGCTAATAATAGAAAAGGGCAAGATTTTGTGGAAGAAAAGCTAGATAGGATTTTCTCTCTCCTGAGTTGAATTTGTTATTGAAAAATCCCCAAGTCAGGTATATCCCTATGCTTTCTTCTGATCATAAGTTAATCTATTTGTCCACTACTGATGTAGTGAATAGCAGGGAGAAGCATTTTGTCTTTGATGTTAGGTGGGCTAAGAAAGAGGGTTTTGAAGAACCAGTGAATTGTGGTTGGAATAGGGTTGTTCAGGGCCCAGCCCTGTTCAGCATTCAACAAAGATTGAGAAATGTCAAGAACAGCCTGCTTGCTTGGGTTGGTAAGAACCACACTAACTCTAACTCTGCTGTTCTTATTGCTGAGCTCTAGGGTAAGATAGAGGAGTTAGAACTCTTTGGGGGGAACAGGGATTGGGAAGAGTGGGGTAGGAGTTAGAACTCTACTGGAAGCAAAAAGCTAGGATTTGCTGGCTTAATGATGGGGATAGAAATACTAAAATTTTCCATGCTAGTGTGAGGAGTAGGAGAAGGCTTAACACTTTAGAGAATTTGAGAAGAGTTGATAGTAGAGGTATGAGTCTGAGAGGGATATAGTGCTAGAATTAAGTAGGTATTTTGAGGATCTCTTTAGATCCTCTACTCCCATTGTAGAGAATTGTAGCCTAGAGGGAATTCCAATTTCAATCACTGCTGACATGAATGAAAGATTAATCAGAGATGTATGTGTTTCTGAAATTGAGACAACACTTATGGAAATGGAACCCCTCGAAGCTCCTGGTATAGATAGGTGGAATGCTTCTTTTTCCCAAACTTCATGGCCTTCTATGAAGGATCATTTGTGTTGTGCAATATTGAATTTTTTCCATAAAGGTAGAATGCCTAGAGGGCTTAATCACTCTACAATCACTCTGATCCCTAAGAAGAATAATCCTGAAAAAGTTTCTGAGTTTAGACCCATTAGTCTGTGCTCTGTGGTGTATAAAATCATATCTAAAGTAATTGCTAACAGATTGAAATCTGTGCTTAATAATTGTATCTCCCCAACTCAATCTGCTTTTGTGCTTGGTAGATATATTATTGATAATGCTGTTATTGCCAATGAATGCATTCATTATCTGAATAGTAAAAGAAAGGGCAAAGACAGTTACATGGCTATTAAACTTGATATGGCTAAGGCTTATGACAGAGTTGAGTGGGACTTTCTTGTCAGGGTTTGCAAAAAAATGGGGTTTCATGAGAAATTTATTTCTTGGATATTAGCTTGCATTTGCTCCACATCTTTCTCATTTAACATTCAAGGAAATCCCTCAAGCTATGTTCTTCCTTCTAGGGGCTTGAGGCAGGGGGACCCACTGTCCCCATACTTGTTCATCATTTTGACTGAAGCTTTTTCAAATTTGATTAAGCAAGCATGCAATAAGTCTGAGTTTCATGCCATTAGGATTAGTAAACATGCTCCTCGAATTTCACATCTTTTCTTTGCCGATGATTACATATTGTTTTGTAAAGCATCTGCATCTCAGGCCATCTCTATTTTGAACATCTTAGATGAGTATGGTAGGGCTTCTGGGAAACAAGTCAATATGGATAAGTCCTCCATATTTTTCTCTAAAAATACTTCTTCTGAGATTGCTGATGAGATTTGTAATACATTAAATGAAATCTCTAGGGTTCATTCATCCAAATACTTTGGACTCCCATTGGGCATAGGAAAAAACAAGAGAGAAACATTTCAGTTCATTAGTGAGAGAGTGAAACAGAGGGTTCATAGTTGGAAGAATAGATTCTTAAGTGAGGCAGGGAGAGAAGTTTTAATTAAATCAATTCTTGATGCTCTTCCCACATTTGTGATGTCATGCCTTAGAATTCTTGTGGGTATTTGTAATAGCATTTGTTCTGAGGTTGCTGGGTTTTGGTGGGGTAAAATGGGGGAGGGTAAAAATAGGATTCATTGGGCTTCATGGGATAAAGTGGCAAAGCCAAAAGAGAGAGGGGGATTAGGATTTAGGAATATCAGGGTTTTTAATGAGGCTATGTTGGTGAAGCAACTGTGCAGGTTGATCACCAAGCCTAATCTTCTAGTTAGCAGAGTGTTGAGGGGTAGATATTTTTTGAAGGATAATTTCTGGGAGGTCAAGCCAAAGAATGTAGATTCTTGGCTTTGGAGGAGTTGGTTAGATGCTAGGAAATCTTTGAAAATAGGGGTTAGATTTAGGGTAGGGGATGAGAAGTCTGTTAATATCTGGAAATCACCTTGGTTACCATCCAATTCTTATTTCATTCCTGAGTGTAACTTTCCCAGTGACTTGGGGAGATTAGAGGGGTGGCTGACCTTATTTCTAGTGAGAAGAATGAGTGGGATTCTGAGCTGGTTAGCCAAAATTTTAAACTTGAGGATGCTCAGATTATTCTGAAAATTCCCCTAAGTCACTGTGGCCAGAAGGACAAACTCATATGGCATTGGCACAACAAAGGAGAGCTGACAGTGAAGAGTGTGTATGGATTTCTGATGCAATGTGAAGCAAGGAAGGAAGCTAGTACAAGCACATCCAATTTAGCTATGCAGAAGATGTGGAAGAATACATGGATATTGCCCATTGCAGGCAAGATAAAAAACTTCCTATGGAAATGCTGGTTTGGGTTTATTAGCACAGGAGTTAAGCTCTATCAGAGGAAAATTCATGATGTTGTTTGGTGCCCTATCTGTGGAGAAGGACCAGAAGATCTTGAACACTTGTTCTTTCATTGTCATAGAGCTCAAACTTACTGGAAGTTGTTAGGAGTGAGCTGGGAGAAACTAGAAAATGAGAAGACCAACTTCAGAGATTGGTGGTTTGACATATGTTTAAAAGGAATGAATGAGAGTGTTATTGACAGAGTAAGTCTTTCTAGCTACCTGTTGTGGTGGCTTTGGAAGACTAGAAATGTTTGAGTGTTTGAAAAAAATTGGATTACTTAACAGTGCCTAGTTAAAATTGTTGTGAATGGCTGGTATGAATTTTTAGATGTTAGGCAAAATAGGGTGAAGGACAAAGCTGCTCAGGTTGATACCAGTGACTTAGAAGTGGGAGATCTTCAGTTGGGGGTAGGGAAGCAAATTTTTGCTGTCAGTGCCCTATCTTCCCCTTCTGGTTGGCTGGGTTTAGGTGGTAGTATCTTCTGCAATGGTGCTATATCACAAAAGTGGGAAGAAGCTGTGGAATTCCAGGGAAGGACAGAGGAAGGATCGTTGAGAGGTGTCAGATGGATTCTAGAGAAAGCTACTCAACTTGGAATAGAGGCTATGTGTTGCTGTGTGGAGAACAAAGAATTGGCATCAAAGCTTCAGAAGCAACAACTATTCAATTGTGATTATGGCATTGTTGTTGATGATATATACTCTCTGGTTTCTTCTTTTAATTGCTGTAATTTTAGTTTTAATCCTTCTTTCAGTAGTATTTGTGGTAAGTTGGCCAAAGGGGTTGTGGAGAGGTTGTAAGTTTGTACTTCCTCGTTTAATAGGGCTTAGTCTGTTAGGTGGCCTGTATCTTTAGTCATTTGACTACTCAGACTATCTTTATCCCCAACCCAACCCAACCCAACCTAATAATTAAAAATTATTTCTCTCTCCTCCATCTACACAACTCAATCTTCCAATCCAATTTATCTTTATCCCCAACCCAACCCAACTTAAATATTTATTTTATTTTAATTTATTTAAATGTTATTATTGTGTTCTAAAATATATCAAGTGTGGTCTCTATTTGTAGAGAATGAAAAAATACGAATTTTAGTATTTTTTTTAGTTTTTTTAGAAACAAAAAAAATACACTTATACAATAAAAATGAGACAAGTGTCCCATTCCTATACAATAACCGGTCACGACCCGAGGTCATCATGTGACTTGGGTTGCTGAAAGTTGTGACCTTTTATTTTTTTTTTTTTTTTTTGTTTGTCTTATTCCCGTGACCCAATGGGTGGGTCACGGATAAACATAGTCTTAGGATGTACCTTCTATTGAGTTTTAATGCATTTCAGTTGATTGTGGAAAAAAAAAACGGACCAAAAAACTAATCTAGTCCAATAGGCTCGCAAAAATTGGACCCAAATACATTGATAAATAAAAAAAATTGAAACAGTTCACTAATTAACCTACCCAAATACACTCATAAATAAAAAAAAAATAGAAATGGTCCATTAATTAACCTACTTAGGTACATGCATGATGTGTTATATTGACTTATCGTTATAGTTTTCATTATGTTAGATATTTTATAATTATAATAAATGGGGTAAAATGTTTACGTGACAAAATTATTTAATATTTATCATTTTCGTAATTATTAATTCATAAATCAAATATTAATAAAGATATAATATTCTAAAACAATGCAATAAAACATCAGTATTTTTGTTGAGATTAGTAACGTAGTGATAGTTAATTTCTATGTTCTGTTTTGTGTCTCATGGTTAGTCACTTTTGACCGTTTGAGTTGTAAGGGTATTTTAGTATTTTTCTCATATTTTCTTCTTCTTCATATAAATGTTGTATATTTTCTTTCTTTGTGACCATTATGTCACTTTGCACTGTAAAACAATTTCTGATCAATATAGCTCAGTCTTCAATGGCTTCTTTTGGTTTCTCCTCTCTGATTTACTATTGAACAAGGTATCAGAGCAGAAAAATAATTGATTATATATGGCGCGTAATCCTGCGTGAGATGACGTTGTGACGGGAAATCACAACAACGACAGCGATTCTGCCGGCGACAATCGACAGATGACGATGAGAGTGGACGGTCCTTTTGCGCTGCACAATTCCGATCATCCGGGAATGGCATTGGTAACGACTCCTCTCACTGGATCCAACTATCAAACATGGCAACGAGCTGTGACGATTGCCCTATGAGCTAAGACTAAGCTCGAGTTTATCAATGGTGGTGTCGCCAAACCGAATCTGAATAACCAGAATACGATCAATGGAGGAAGGTAGATTACACTATCTATAGTTGGATTCTAAATTCACGGAGTAAGGATTTAGTTGATGCATTTCTCTATGCCGATTCTGCGCAAGCACTTTGGGAAGAAATTGAACAACATTTTGGAGAAAGTAATGGTCCACTTTTATACCAGTTGCAAAACGAAATTGCGAATATTAGGCAACACAATGGTTCGATTGCATGCTATTTACAAAACTGAAGAACTTTTGGGACGAGTACACTAGCCTAGTTCCTTTTCCGGCCTGCAATTATGGTTCTATGCAACATATGATGGTGATTGAGGAAAACATGAAGTTGTTGCAGTTCCTTATGGGGTTGAATGAGAGTTATGAAGGAGTGATGAGCCAGATATTGTTGCTCGATCCCTTACCTTCAGTGAATAAGGCCTACTCGATGATAAAGAGAGTTGAGAAACAAAGAAAAAAAGGATACGAAATTCAATGACGAAAAGATTAATAGATTTTTTTTTCAAAGATTAATAGATTAAGGATACGAAATTCAATTTCAGTGAATCTATTATATATTAATAGATTATTTTCTTTTTCAATGAAAAAAAGATACGAAATTCAACTAATACGAATTAATTATCTATGGGATATAAATTGATTTTGATTTACCAAAATTATTAGATTTTTCTACTACAATAATATTCATACATTTTTAATATATGTATTGATGTGGTCGTAAGAAGCGGTTCATGAAGGATCGGTTGTGATCCGGATTTTAGTCGCACTCAGCTGGGTTGTTCAATCAGGTAGGCGCAGCCCATGGCACCTCTGGAGTGTAGGGGTGGTAGGTGGAGGCTAGCTCTACGTGAGCCAGACAGGGCACCTCGACACCTAGGTAGCTGGACGTTCCACCGAGGGGACCAGAGCTCGGAGGTGGTCTTCTGCTCAAGTCACGAAGAGGTTTACAACATCAAGGACTCTTAGAATTTTGACCTAATCCAGAGGAAGACTTATAGTACGATTGGAACTCTTCAGCTTCTACATGACCTCATCTATAAAAGAGCACAGGTTCATTCATTCTACACAACACACACATACAAATTCTTTCGTTACTCTGCCGTTTTCTCTTTGGACCACCACTGACTTGAGCGTCGGAGTGTTCGCGCTGGGACCACTCCCGGCGTGTTTTTCAGGTACCGACGATCAGGGAGACGCAACCCGGTTCGGATAGGAGCGGTTCAACGGTTCAAGTATTTGTGGTATAATAAATTGGCGCCGTCTGTGGGGAACTCAGTCTTCTACTGGAGTATCAAAGGCTGTTTTTTTTCTCACTGAAGAAGAAGTGCGATAAGAGTCATGGCAGGAGATAATTCGAAGAAGAACCTGACAAAGGAGATGGATGCGGAGTGGGCTCAGAGGGCCTTCGGGACAGGTGCCCCACCAGGGCATTTTGGGACCCGGGGGTGCTGGTGGTCAAAATGGCTCATTGGGTGACGGGCAGATGGTCGTGGCAGGACGACAAAATCCTCCAGGGGACAACGTTTCTCTAGCATCGCGGGGGGAGCCGGTTATTCAGATGACTAGGTTGGAGTCGGATAGGATCATTGCTGAAGCGATAGGCCGAGCTCAAAAGGTGGATAGGAGAGCTCCTAATGAATCTCTTCGACAACCTCCACCGCAACAACCACACGCCCCTCAGCAGCAGCCCCCCTTGCATCAGCAGCAGCACTAACATTTGGAGGGAGACGGCGATGATGATACCAGATCGATGACTTCCCACCCGATTCCAACGACACAGTCGGATGGGTTAACTTTGGAGAGGTTGGCAGCTCAGATGCAGGACCTCCAAGCTCGGGTACAAGGGAAAAGAGTGGTAGTTTCACGTGGATATCCGTTTGCAGAGGAAGTGCTGGGAGGACTAAGCAATTTTAGAGAACTAAGCTTATCCTATGATGGCTCGACAGACACTACTCGGCACCTAAGGTCATTTGACAATATAGCCGTCTTGCATCGTTATAGCGACGCAGTCAGTTGCCGGGTCTTCTTGACTACTTTAAAGGGCTCGGCACAGGATTGGTTCCACCAGCTGCTAACAGGATCCATCGATAACTTTGAGAAGATCAGCTCCTTGTTTCTGAATCAGTTTGCAAGCGCCAGAAAGCATGAGAATACGTACCTCTCACTGATTAATATGCAGTAGAAGGAAGGTGAAACCTTGCGACAATACGTGGCTCGGTATACTAAAGAATGCGTGAAAGTTCCTAGGGCCTCAGAGGAGGTAAAGGCCGGGGGGCTTACGCGGGGCCTAAGAGCAGAAAAGTTAAGGGACTCCTTGGCAAAGCGGCCGGCGAGGTCGTTTGACGAGTTCTTGAAGAGGTGTAGCAAGTATGTGAATATGGAAGAATCAGAGGCAGACTTCATTCGGAATGACAAGACAAGGGCTAAGTAGGTAGATGAGAGGCCCCGACAGAGTGATCGACGAGCTTCCCCTAAGGAGGCTAGGGTCGAGGATCGGTTCAGAGGTCCGAGGTACGAGCACTACAAACTACTTAATGCACCACAATAGGAGATTCTCGAGATGATGGAAAAACAGGAGGAGGACAAGCTGCTCGCACAGCCGAAGCCTCTGCCCCCGCCGCGGAAATTTTCGGCATCAAAGGACAGATATTGTCGGTACCACCGCGATTACGACCACTCTACCAATTTCTGTAGAGAGTTGAAGGAGGAGATTGAGCGGCTCCTTAGGGCCGGTCACTTTTGTGATCAAGGATAAAGAGCGCCAAGAAGATCGCCGGAAAGGGCGTAAGTCGGGTGACAAGCGGAGAAGGACTGATGAGCAACCTGATAGACCAGTTAAGAAGGGTATAATACACATGATCGCGGTGGGTCCTACGGATGGAGATTCGCATAGGGAGAGGAAGAGGACCTACCGGGGAAAGGGTGTTGCTAATGAGGTGTCCGAGGTACAGGTGCAGAGCAGCTTGGCCACTCTAAAATTTGGAGCTGACGATGTGCAGGGGCTTGTTGTCCCACATAATGACGCTTTGGTCATCACTGCGGAGGTGGCCAGTTACGATGTGCAGAGGGTGCTCATAGACACGGGGAGCTCGGCGGACATCAGTTTCCTGAAGTGCTTATAACAGATGGAGTTAGACGTGAAGGTCGAGCTGGTCCACACTGCTCTCTATGGCTTCAGCGGCAGTGAGGTTCTCCCAGTGGACAAAGTTAGCTTGACGGTGGCGTTGGGAAAGGTCACCTTTGAGGAAGGTGAAGATGGTTCGCTTCCTGGTCGTGGATGCTAGCTCGGCCTACAACATCATATTGGGGCGGCCTAGCTTGAATTCATTCCAGGCGGCCATTTCCACTTATTGCATGAAGATCAAGTTCCCTATAGGGGATGAGGTTGGGGAAGTCACTGGAGACCAGTTGCAATCTCGGTGGTGTTATGAGGTCACATTGAAGACGGCCGAGGCACAACATAAGAGGAAGAAAGACGACCCGCCTGAGTGCTCCCATCGGGAGAAGAAGCAAGAGCTGGGGATTAGCTCCCAGGACGAACTGATGGAAGTTGAATTGATAGAGGGAAATCCGGAGAAGATAACAAAGGTAGGTCGGCATTTGGCGGTCAACATACAAGGCGCGTTGATTGCACTACTGAAGGAATTTGTGGATGTCTTTGCCTTTTCGGCCAACGACCTCACAGGAATCGATCCCGGGGTAACAGAGCATAGGTTGAACATCGATCCAACTATGAGGCCGGTGAAGCAAAAGAGGAGGCACTTTGGTGTCGAGCTCGATGTGGTTATTGAAGCAGAGGTGGAGAAATTGTTAAAGACGGGGCATGTACGACCCATTTAGTTCCCGGAGTGGTTGTCCAATTCAGTCACGGTAAGGAAGGGAGAAGGAAAGTGGAGGATGTGCATAGACTTCAGGGACCTCAACAAAGCCTGCCCTAAAGATCACTACCCCTTACAACGTATTGACCAGCTCGTCAACTCTGCAGCTGGGTGCGAGTTATTGATCATGATGGACGCTTCTCAAGGGTACCACCAGATACCTCTCGCTGAGAAGGACCAGAAGAGGTTAGCTTTGTGATATCTAAGGGCACTTACTGTTACGTAGTCATGCCTTTCGGATTGAAGAATGCAGGAGCTACTTACCAACGGTTGGTGGATAAAATGTTCAAACGGCAGATAGGTATGAATATGGAGGTCTACGTCGATGAGATGCTAGTAAAGAGCAGGAAGGCGGATGATCATGTGGTAGACTTACGCGAGACCTTGAGCACACTACGGCGATACGGCATGAATCTCAACCCGGCTAAGTGCAAGTTTGGGGTAAGGTCAGGAAAAGTTTTGGGGTACTTGGTGACGGAGAGGGGCATAGAAGCCAACCCGGAGAAGGTATGGGCTGTTATTGAGATGCAAGCACCAAGGAACTTGAGAGAGGTGCAGATCCTAACCGGACGCCTAGCGGGGTTGAGCAGGTTCATAGCTCAATCTGTAGAAAAAAGTTTTCCCTTTTTTAAGGCCTTGAAGAAGGGATAGCGTTTCGAGTAGACGTTGCAAGTACACCATGCCTTTGAGAGGTTGAAAGAGTTTCTAGTTGAGCTCCCTTTACTCACAAAATCAGAACCAGGCGACACGTTAGTTGTATACCTATCGATGGGGCACGAAGCCATTAGTTCAGTGCTGATAAAGGAGGAGCATGGACAACAGAAGCCAATATACTATGCTAGTCGGATATTGCAGGGCGCCGAGCGCCGATATTCAGACGTGGAGAAGGCCGCGTTAGCACTTATCTCTACAACCAGGAAATTGCGACTTTACTTCCTAGTGCATAAAGTTATGGTGCGGACCAACTACTCGCTCAAAGATACTTTAGGCCGTCCTTCGGCCTCGGGAAGGATGGTGAAGTGGGCGGTTGAACTAGGCGAATACAATGTTGACTTTGAGGTGCGAAAAGCTATTAAGGCTCAGGCGTTGGCCGATTTCATACAGGAGTGCATATTGGGGGCTGAAAGGGGACCATGGATGGTGTATGTTTACGGCTCGTCGGCGGTAGGAGGAGCAGGTCTCGGCATCTTGGTGGTCACACCAGAGTACGAAGCTCTCATTAAGGGAATTCAGCTCGTCCTAAAGGAAGGAGCTCGACAGGTGATCATTCACTCGGATTTTCAGCTCGTGGTCGAACAGACCAGGGGTGAGTATGAAGCTAAGGAAGAGCGCATGAGGAAGTATCTGGTCGAGGTCCAGGAAATGTTAAAAGGATTTGTGACATGGGAGTTGATACAAATACCGCGGGGAGAAAATGGTAGGGCCGACCTACTCTCAAAGGTGGCCGCGTCTCTTGTTGACTACCGATCTCGTTCGGTGACGTTGATGGATATGACCAAGAGTACCTTGGACCAGGTGCTAGAAGTTGAAGAGCAAAGGGATTGGAGGCCGCCTTTAATACAATGGTTGCAGGAGCCGGTAGCAGGAAAAGATATCAGGGACGACCCCAGTTGGAAGGAGAGCATTGAGGTTTTACTTGCAGAATAGGATCCTATATAAGCGATCGTACATAGGGCCTCATCTAAGGTGTGTCTCGGAACAGGACAGAGAGTACGTGCTCAAGGAGGTGCATGAAGGATGTTGCGGCGACCACCTGAAGGCTAGCGCATTGGTTGGGAAGGTGCTTCGGGCTGGATACTTCTGACCTAAGATGAAGACGATGGCACAGGACCTTGTGCGAAAATGCAAGAAGTGTCAGCAGCATGGCCCCTTGATCCATCGGGCAGCCGAGAACATGGTTCCAATAAGCTCGCCTCTACCATTTACTCAGTGGGGGGTTGACATAGTTGGACCTCTGCCCCAGGCGACGGGCCAGCAAAAGTTCCTCATTGTGGCAGTGGATTACTTTTTCAAGTGGATTGAGGCCGAGCCAATGGCGATGTTCACAGAAGAAAGGGTGATGAAGTTTCTTTTCAACAACATCTGTTGCCGGTACGGCATCCCTCGAGTGCTCATATCTGATAATGGCACTCAGTTCAGAGGTCAGCGTACAATGAGTTGTTGTGAAGAGATAGGCATCAAACAACAGTTTGCTTCAGTCGCCCACCCCCAAGCGAATGGGCAGGCCGAGGTCGCCAATAGATCAATTCTAAATGGGTTGAAGGCTAGATTGAAGAGAGCTTCAGGTGCTTGGGTGGACGAACTTGATTCGGTGCTATAGTCATATCGGACGACACCAAGGACTTCAACGGGGGAGACGCCGTTCAGTCTAGTTTAAGGTATGGAGGCCGTCATCCCAGTGGAGGTCGGCCTCAACTCAGAGCAGGTTGACATATACACAGAAGAAGGAAATGTTGAGCTCCGAAGGGAGGCATTGGACCTGGTGGACGAGTTGCATGACCAGGCTGGATTGAGGACGGCGGCTTTCAAGCATCGAATGAGGGCGGCCCACGACAAGTCAGTTCGAGCTCGACGATTCCAAGTGGGGGACCTGGTTTGGTGTCAGGCCGACGCCCTGAAGCATGTTGAGAAGTTGGAACCGAACTGGGAGGGCCCTTATACTGTCGAGAGGGTGCTCGCGGGGGGCGCCTATGAACTTCGCGATGTCAAGGGGCAGCTACTACCGCGACCATGGAACATATCACATTTGAAGAAATATTATGCGTAGCTGGAGACATGTTACTTTTAATTGCTTTCAGTCGTTGTTTGGTTATGTTTTAGCAAGACAAGTAATAAAGTTACATGTGAAGTTTTTTCAGCTTGACTCTTTTTTGGTATGGTATGCATTAGGGCACCGGCTTGTGAGGCCTCGCCTAAGCTCGCGGAGCTGGGCGACGACCTCTGTAGGGAGAAAGCTAGTAGTCTCGCCTAAGCTCGCGGAGCTGAGCGACGACCTCTGTAAGGCAAAAGCTTGGTAGTCTCGCCTAAGCTCGCGGAGCTGGGCAACGACCTCCGTAGGGCGAGAGTCTGGTAGTCTCGCCTAAGCTCACGGAGCTGGCCGACGACCTCTGTAGGGCGAGAGCCTGGTAGTCTCGTCTAAGCTCGCGGAGTTGGGCGACGACCTCTGTAGGACGAAAGCCTGGTAGTCGCGCCTAAGCTCGCGGAGCTGGGCGACGACCTCTGTAGGGTGAAATCCTGGTAGTCTCACCTAAGCTCGCAGAGCTGGGCGACGACCTCTGTAGGGCGAGAGCCTGGCAGTCTTGCCTAAGCTCGCGGAGCTGGGCGACGACCTTTGTAGGGCGAAAGCCCAGTATTCTCGCCTAAGCTCGCGGAGCTGGGCGACGACCTGTGGGCATGCAAGTCTTGAAACGCTTAGCAATAATTGTGCTAGGTGCAAAAGCCCATTGCCACGATGCTAAGTGTTTACGAGACTTGGTGAGCGAAGCTTGTTACGAAAGAAGACATATGGTTATTTGAACAATAGTCAATTATATAAGTACGAGCAATTGAAGCGTGAAATTAAAACATGATGCTCACAAGCGAGAGATGAAATCAAGTGACAAAACACTACACGAGTTCACGATTAGATTCCAAAATAACAAAAGAGATAAACAAAAGAAAGGTTCAATACATCTACTTCAAACAAAAGAAAATCACATGTAAGTCTGGGTAGATGGCCCGGTGCCCCTCTACTCAGGGATCTTCTCCACCTTACCTCCAGCAGCTACGATAGCAGCCTTTAGGGCCAGATCCCACCAAGGATGGGTCACTGGGAGAGACTCGTCACCGTTACATCCATTGGGGTTAGGGAGGCCCTTCCTCAACTTGCCTTCATTCGCGAAGAAGGTGGTGAAGCCCTAGACTTTCGCCTCGGCTTGGTCCGCTCGACCCCTGCTCGGAAATATTGGAGGCACTCCTTGACAACCCGCTTGAGGAACGCCGTGGAGTCGTGGTAGCGTGCCAATAGCTCAACTCGGTAGTACTTGAGGAAGCGGACCCCGAACTCCGAGTCAAAAAATGTCTCTCGGGTCTCCTTCTAGGCCTGAACAACGCGCTCGTGAATTGATAGTCGAAGAGCCTCCAGCTCGCCCTGGAGCTTCTCCTTCTCGGCCTTCTCCTTAGCAAGGTCTTTCTTGAGTGTAGCAAGTTGAGCTTTCTTTCTGGCCACCTTGCCTTTCAGTTTCTCCACCTCGTCGGAGTCGCCCTCCATAGCCTCGTTAAGGATGAGAGCTACACTGGCCATGGCCTATTGAAGGACGTAAAGATGGTCAAGCATTAACTTAGTTTTATCAAATTATAAGGCATAAAGATAAGGTATGAGGGTATACCTGACTAAGGTGGTACATGGTCTCACTAGCTCGGAGCTCTTTGGTCGGCCACTGGACTGTCTCACCATCGGGGAAGGTGGAGAGAAAGTAGGAGCCTGACGCCTCCGTGTCTTTGTTGCCTGCAAATTGCCTCAGTATGGTAAGGGTGCGCTGCTCGTCATCCCGAAAGGCGACCTTGCGTTTCTTCGAGAAGTTCCTGGTCGGCGGCTGACGGTAGCGCTGCCGAGGGGTGCCCTTGTTGGTGTCCTCAAGGTGGGTAGCCTGAGGTGATGGTGGATCGGTGGTTACTAGGACCTCTTCGGCAGCGGTGGTGCCCAGCGGGACCTCGTCGGTACCAACGGTGGTTTTTGGGACCTCGGTGGCGGTGACGGTCTCCATGAGCTCCTCTGCAAGACAAATAAAAGATACAGATATTAGTAACTAGATTATATGCATATGACTAACATGAAAGAGATGGTAGGCGATATGACGGTAACCTGGGGCGCCGAGGCCTACCTATGTTATCCACGGGGTCAGCGGCACAGTTGGATAGTTGGAAGTGTCGAAGGAGCTGGTCGTTGGCGGCCAGCTTCATCACGAGGAGGGGGAAAGCATTCCACTGGTTGAAAGGGTCTCGTATCGGGTGTTTTTCTTTGGTCTCTTGAGTGGTGTAGGTGGTTTGTCTAGCCAAACGGATGAGAAGTCAAAGGTATCGGTGGTAGGCGCACGTATGAAGAAAAATTTGTTTTTCCACTGGTAATTTTTGACCTGGGTTGGTGTATGAAGCGGGTGTTGTTACGGCGCATGAGGTAAGGCGCGTTGTTCAACTTTCTGAGGCATATGCAGTACAAACACATCTTAGGGTCGAGTTTGCCGAGACGAGCTCGGCATACCATTATGAAGCCGATTGAGTTAGGAGGTAATTGGTTCAGGGGCATCTTATACAATTGACTCAACTGGAGCAGGTCGGAATGTATAGGTAATCTCAGCCCGACGTTCACTTGGTCTAGAAAGAAGCTAAAACAGTCGTGTGGGGGGCTATCGTATGAGTCATCGGGTTTTGGAAGTCTGAGTTCCCAATTTCGGGGCAATTCTATTTTCTTGATAAGCGCGGCTACTTGGGTATCCGAATAGAAGCATATGGGGTTTGACGGTATGGCTTGAGAGTGGGTGACCCCCTTTTTTTGCCTTGGTGTTAGAAGAGGTCGTCGAGGCCGGGAGGGCTAAGGCGACGGGGGGTGACCCTACGGGTGAAGAAGAGGAACTAGTGTTGCTCGTGGAGGTAGAACTCGTGTTATACGTAGAAGAGGAGCATGGGTTACTAGTACTCGTCAAGGAGGAGTCGTAATGGTGGTGGATCCTTCTAAAGTGTACATAGGCGGGATAACAATCGGAACGCATAGGGCAAGCAAGGAGTTCGACGTAAAAGGAAGATAAAATGCGAGCATATGAGAATGTGAACTACATAAAAACACAAAGCAAAATGGTGAATGAACGTAACAAGATTGAGAAGAGGTAGGCATACCCATGAAACTTGCAGATGCCGCCATAGTGGAAGGAGTGAGACGAGGTGTAATAGCTCAATTCTGTATTAATAAAAATGACAGTTTTTAGTTCCAAGTTGAACTATTTCTTTTTATTAATACTGCTCGTCTTGAGTTCCGAGCCCAGTTATCAGCTATTCAATTTCAGTTATTAATTCCGGTCCATTTATTTTAGCAATGGATGTTATTCAGTCGGAATTAATATTTCCAGTTGACGAATAATTGAGACCGAGTATGTTTCGATAAATCGTCTAAGTCTAGCTGTGTCCGGAACCGAGTCGTTCGGTCACGAGTATCGCGCCTAGTCGAGTATCGCGCCTAGTTCGTGCCGAGTCTCGTTCGAGCCCTAGCCGTGCTCATAATATCACTTCGAATATTTTTTTAAGTATGAGATCATTTTATCGAGCCTTAGATATCTTTTCCCTCGGTCGGATATACCGCACCTAGCTCGTGCGTGGCCCCGAGATCACTCGCGTCTAGGGTTCGCGAGTTAGGGCCAAAGTCGTGCCAAGCATTAGCACCAAGTTATGACCGAGCAGTAAGGGAATTTTTCCTAAGTCTTGTGGCACCTAAGTGAGGCCATTATTCAGCCCTTGGAGTGAGTATCTACTCGGCCAATTACCGCGCTCAAGTGTTGCGTGCCTCGCCCAAGTGCGCGAGCCTAGCCGTGCCGAATTGGCCTAAGTCATGGCCGAGCTTCATGGGAATTTTACTAAGTATATTTTGGGCTTAAAGGTCAGCCATAATTCAGCCTAAGGGTGTAGCATACTCGGCCCAAGAGATGGCTTATCTCAGCCTATGCGCAAGTGCCGAGCCCAGCCAGCCATGCCGCGCGCGAGGCCCAGCGCCTAGGCCTATCCGAGTGATTTTCAAGCCCAATGCCTAAATTTCGGCCCATATGCTGAAGGTCCAAGTTGAGGCGTGCAATGAGGGGATTCTGGTGGTTAATTAAGTCTAAGTTATGCTTAAGAAAGTTTAAGGGAAGACAAAGCATGATTAAGCCTAAGTAGTGCATGATGGGCACATTATTTTAATGCATTGTGCCATACCTTGTCCCCCACCATGCTCCAGCCGACCAAACCTGCTCCTTTCAGCCATATGCTCTGCAAGATGCTCCAATTTTTCCATGCCAAAGTCAGCTCATGTAAGACCAAGAAGATGCCCACTCAAGACTCCACTTTCCCATGCACATGTGGTGCCTTTGTCCCCCACCATTATGCCTCAATTGCTCCGCCCCTCTCACTCTATTTAAGGGACACTCCTCTGAGTTGTTAAGGCTCTTGGACACTTAGAGAACTTCAGCAAATTGAGAGCAAATAGCTAGCAAACCGAGAGCAAGGCCCCCTCAAGTCATGCGCGCGCGAGAGTGAAGATAGGGGTGAGGATCGAGTCTTACCTTAATCCATCCAAGTCCACTCGTGGTTTATCATTACCATAGAGTTTGTTGGATTTTTGTAAGCCTCCAGAAGTCCTCAATTGCAGCCATTAGCCATTGGAGCTCGAGTACACAAGTAAGGCCGCGAGTGAGCCCTAGAAGGCCATCTTGGCACCATTTCGAACCTTGAGCAAGGTAAACTTCCTACCTATCACTTTTTCCAGCTTATTCATGATAAAATAGGAATTATCATGTTGAAAAATGATGCCATGCATGAGATGGCCAAGTTTCGAATAATATGGAGTTTCGAATTTTTGAAGTTTATTTCCTTAAATTCGAATTTTATGATACATGCATGAGATGGCCAAGTTTGATGGCTTAAAAATCCTCAAAAATCATAAGTATGACATTGGTAAAAGATTAACATGCTTTGAGTTCATTTGTTCGGTCAAGTTGCTAAGTGAAATCGAGCCATTTTCACCTTCGAACCTAAGTATATGTGCATGCATGTAATGACCAATGTTCTAGCCTCCATAGTCATGATTTTTTATGCTTAGTACTCGGCCCTGAGTCAATTTATATGTTGAGCATGTTCATTTCGGTGACCTAGGGTGGCCTCGAGCCTAATCGGCCCTATAAGCCCACCTCATTATCCAACCGAGGTCTCTCAGTGACTTATGGCATTTTTATGTTTATTATGTCATGTTATGTTGGGTTGGTTCAGTAGTCACCGGAAATAGTGGCCGGAAGTCCGGCAAGGACCGGCTAGGGTCACCAGCCGCGCCAGTCGCACGTGCCGTGCCCGTGCCGCGTCGCAGAGGCCAGACAGTGCCTCTGTCCGTGCCCGCGCCTAGCGCTCGCGAGGCACCGCAGTGATGAAGGATCGTGTGTTACGTCTAGCTCGACACGCAGTTGGCCCGGGACGTGCCCAGCAACACGCCCGCGTGCCCAGGTCACCCGGCAGCGCCCTACTAACCCCAGTCGCGTGAATAGTGCCCGGCTGTGCCAGTTCTCGCATCGGCCGCACCCGGGCCGTGACCAGTTGCACGCCCCAGTGCCCAGTCACACTCTCAGCGCCCAGTTGACCTCGGCTGTGCCCTGTTGCACCCGAGTAGCACCAGTCGTGCCCGTGCTCGCGCCAGCAGCGCACCAGAGCACCCAGTCACCCTTAGTCGTGCCCAGCAGCACCTAGTGGCACCAGCCGTGCCAGGGCCCGTGCCAGCCGCACCGCCCGCGCCTAGCAGCGCCTAGCACCGAGGCCGGTCGCACCCAGCTCGTGCCTAGCGCCGTGCCATGGCCCCAGCAGGCCCAGCACGGGACCGATCCCGGCCAGTCCGAGCAGCCGTGACCACCCGGTCCAGAGTGAACTGGTAGTCCAACTCGGTCCGGTTCAGCCAGACCTGGTTCAGTTAGTGAGCGAACCAGCCGGTTTAGCCGGCGGTTCGAGTCAGTTTTGGTTCAAGTATTTCGGTCCGAGTTTTATTCCAAAATTTAAGTAATTTTCTGAGCCAAACCAGATCAGTTAAGCGTATCAGCTCTATTTTCCGGACTTAGAATTATTTTAGTGAACCCTTAGAGCGTTCCTTTATATCCGGATGAGAAATCTAATAGAGTAGAGCATCTTAGCATATTATTGAGCGTATGACGAGCATAGTACTTAGTATATTTGTTTGTTTATATTTTTATGTAGCTTGAGGACTCAGCTACCAGCGCATCCACACTTACCTATTTTCAAAGCAGATCAGGTGGGGATCCAGTCCGGGTTATACATTGAGTATAATAGTCGATATCATGTTCAGGTATGTATATGAGTTTTATCCGCTTGGGGTTAAGGCCAAGTTTGCCTTCCCTAAGTTCTGGTGGTGGCCCAGTTCGCCTTAATTATACCATCAGAGTATGCACACGGTTACCGGCCAGAGAGTCCGGGAGTTACCGGCCAGAGTGTTCCGGGCGTTACCGGCCATAGTGTTCCGGGAGTTTCAGTTTACTTATATATACCGGTTCTGTGATATCATTATTATTATTGTTGTTTACTTTAGAATGGGTTTTTATGGAGTACAAGTGTACCGTACTCACCCCCACTTTATATTTTCAGATGGCAGGGTCAGTGGGCAGACGTGAGTCCAGCTGTGGTGGTTGTGGTCGTGGATTCGGCACAGCGAGCCGTTCCAGGGACATTTGTTATCATGTTTTGTATAACTAATATTACCACGCGTTTTCAGACTTCCGCTATGTGTGTTTTATTTCGAGCTTGCATGACAGTATTTCAGACTTAAACGTTTTTACCCGGTTCGCCAGTACGAACGGGTCTAATTTCACATGCTTGATTCGATAAAACATTAATCTGATTTTCTTTAAGTCTAAACCAGCAGATAGACCAGTTAAAGAAAATGGATTTTTAAAGCAGATAAGTTTTTAGCAGCATCCCGAGATAGTTTGCAAACGATTTTGAAAAATTTATAAGCGTTTTCGAAAGTTAGAATTTGCGAAAAAATTGGCCCTAAGTAGCGGGGTGTTGCACGAGGTAGGCATGATGTATGAATTCGATTGAAGAGAGAAGCGTGGTCGTCGACGGCTCGGGTGCATGGTCGTCGTCGGTTCGGGTGCGTGGTCGTCATCAGCTCGGGTGCACTGTCGTCGAGGTGGCACAGTTTGGGTGCATGGTCGTCGGCGGCGGACGCGAGGTCGTCAAGGTGGCGCGAGGTCGGCAAGAGGGCGACCTCGGCGTGATGGTGCGTGATCGACGTGGGGACGACATATCCAATGATGTGGCGTGCTCGGTGAGAGGGCGTGGGCTCGTCGATGAGATGACGAGTGGTAGGCTGCAGCACGTGGTCGTCGGAAGGTATGTGCTCGTCGAAAGGAAAATTATCGGATGTCGAAAAGAGATTTCAAGTTCCTTTTTTAGAGAGAGAATTAATGTTGGGAAGAGAGTGGAGAGAGAAGAGAATGATTTGAAGGTGAAGAATGGTAAATGAAGGGGAGGTGAGTATTTATAGAGGGAGAGAGATGAGTCTTGGCTAATCTTGGCCATTCATATGAATTGTGATCTAAGGTGGAAAATGAGGCTTGTAGGAGAAGCTAGTTGGGATTTCCAAGAAGACATGTGATGGAGGTAGACATGTGATGGTGGGTGTAGATATGTGATGGGGTGATGGGTAGCTAGGCACATGTGCCTAGGTACATTACTTAAAAATTAAAAAGTGAGACGGAGAGGAGTAAGTAAAAGGGAAGAGCACCATAATGTAGAATGGGCTCGGTTCGGCACCTCCATGCGCGCATCTTGGCTCGCCAGGTCGGCGCGGGCGGCTCAGCTCCGCGTCTCCATGTGCTCGGCATTGTGACCAGCTCGACGTGGTCGGCATCTCGCGTATAGCTCGGCGTAGACACCTCATCGCCTCGGCGTGGTTGGTAATCGGGGTGGTCGGCACTCGGGGGGTCGGCACATTGGCGGCTCGACATGGTCGACATGGTCAGCATTGAGGAGTGGTCAGCATTGAGGCGTGCTCGGCGTCGCGTTGAGGTCGGCATCGGAGGGTGCTCGGCATTGTGAAGTGGTCGACATCGTGGGATGGTCGACCTTGAGGAGTGCTCGGCGTCGCGTTGAGGTCGGCGTCGCGGGATGCTCAGCATCGCTGGCAGTTCGACATCACCCATGGCAGCTCGGCCCAGCGCAGGTCATGTGGTCGGTGTCGACCATGTGTCACGGGAGTTCGTCATCATAGTAAGCTCGGCATCCTCATGGCAGCTCGACATCGCGGGGTGGTCGGCTTAGCGGCTTGGTGGGGTGCGTGGCGCTCTGCACGTGAGCTTGCAGGGTGACACGAGTTTGGGTGAGGTAGGCGCAGTTGGAGTGGACGTTCATAAATTTATCAAACTAAAATGTAAGTGCTCGCGATGATGTTTGTAATTTTTCTATTCCTTACGACAAGCTCCGACAACTTGTCTTAGGAATGGGGGGGCTAGATGATGTGGTCGTAAGAAGGGGTTCATGAAGGACCGATTGTAATCCGGGTTTTAGTCGCACTCAGCTGGGTGGTTTAATCAGGTAGCTAGGCGCAGCCCATGGCACCTCTGGAGTGTAGGGGTGGTAGGCGGAGGCTAGCTCTACGTGAGCCAGGCAGGGCACCTCGACACCTAGGTAGCTGGACGTTCCAGCGAGGGGACCAGAGCTCGGAGGTGGTCTTCTGCTCAAGTCACGAAGAGGTTCACAACCTCAAGGACTCTTAGGATTTTGACCTAATCCAGAGGAAGACTTATAGTATGATAAGAACTCTTTAGCTTCTACATGACCTCATCTTTCAAAGGGCATAAGTTCATTCATTCTACACAACACACACATACAAATTCTCTCGTTACTATGTCGTTTTCTCTTTGGACCACCACTGACTTGAGCGTCGGAGTGTTCGCGCCGGGACTACCCGCGGCGTGTTTTGCAGGTACCAACGATCAGGGAGACGCAACCCGATTCAGAGAGGAGCGGTTTAACGGTTCAAGTATTTGTGGTATAACATGTATCATGTTCAAATCTCACACTTTTTAAATTCAATGCTTTCCAAATTTTATGGGATATCAATCATTTGTATTTTCAAAACCTAAAAATTTGTAAATTTAAAGAGATACATAAAGATTTAGTTAGGAAAGAGAAAAATGATCAATTTAATTACCTAAAAATATGTCGTGGCAATATCTTATCAAAATATCCAAATTTTGTACCATTAATTACGGGTGTATTTTTATTTGTTACTTATAATAGTAACTCAACTATATTTACTTTTTAAGTAAAAGTTATTATTCATATATTTTTCCAACAACCTTTTTATATTGCTAATTTGCTATAGACTATAGATAATCGATAATTTCTCGAACTTAAATGAAATAAAAGGAAAAAAAAAAGGAATTAATTGTTAAAACACCACAGTCCATATATAATACGTAACTTTATATATGATAAGTATATGCACATGCATAGTTTAATTAGGTCGCTCACTCTTATTGGCCCAGGAATGTTGTAACTAATTAATTACACCCTATCCAATATCAGACTTAATTTTTCCCATAGCTAGCCAAAGCACCAAATTGGTGACACACACACACACACACACCAAAATAGGTGAGTCATGCAAAATGTGAGCACATACAATACATACCCTCTAATATTATATTCCAACTATAAATACAACCATATATTCCAACATTCATCAATCACACAATCATCAAAGCAAATCTCCATAGCAAAAAAATAATAACAATAAGTAAGAAACAATGGCAAGCATCATGAAGTGGTCATCATCATTTGGTGTGGTCATGATCTTGCTTATTGTAGCCCACGTCACGGAAACTGGGGCTCAAAACCTTTGTGGCACGTCACTAGCGGGTCTCAATGTGTGTGCACCATTTGTTGTGGGCCCAAACCCCAGCCCGCCAAGCCCGGCCTGCTGTGGGGCCCTTCAAGGAGTTGACCATGACTGCATTTGCAACACCATCAGAATCGCCTCTCGTATTCCCGCCCAATGCAACCTTCCTCCACTTACTTGTGGTAAAATAAATTTAATTTTACTCTTCAAACTCACCTATCCATAATCCATTCCATGCATTTTGTTTTTATTATTATTTTTATTCATTTGAATTCAATTCAATACATACCTAACTAATGCACTATATATGATATATATATATGCACCTAAAAAAATATTTGTATTTCTCAAACACATTATGTACAACAAACATGCATGAGCAAGAGAAATAAAATTGTTGACAAAATATCACTCATTAACAACTAGCTTTTCCTTTTGCGTACGTTCTATTTATACTAATTAATAACAAATGCCCATTTTTCTTATTTTGCAGCAAACTTACAAGGTGGGACCGTGCATCCCTAGTTACCAATAATCATCCGGAGATTATAAAATAAGTCGAATAAAATTAGAATCTTCTCCTGTTTTTTTCTTTTTTCACTGCTTGGATCAGATGACTGTTTGTGCTATTTCTAGCATTCCATGTAATGTTTGGACAAGAGCTAAGTGTAATAAAACGATGGAGAAATTACGTATCTCATTTTGTTCAACTTGTGTCGTGAAATTAATTGGAGGATTTTTCAAGTAGTATTATTATGTGTGCCGATATAATTATGCTATCTATTGGAGGTTGGTGTGTTTTGAATCGCATTAAAATAGTTTATACATGATGGCGAGTCAATTATACTTTATGGATTTAAACATACAAGTGGTTTTAATTATATGTCAAGTCGTGAACCTCAAATATTATTGCATTTCTACTACTAAACAAAAATATGATATTTTATATTATAAGTATATACGTTTTGTAAGAAAGTATAATTATCTGATTGTTAGGTAGTCTACTAGCTGCATTTGCTATTTTCAATTAGTTATCTTATGTGAGAATGTAATTTAGGTCGTGTACATATTGTCAGATATTCTTATACGATAAATATGACAATTGTAATATTCTTTATAGGACTAGGATACTTATTTCCTTTTTCTCTTTGTATCTTTCTATTACCCAAACAATTTTGATCATACGATTAAACTAAATTAGTTGCCCTACACTGCTACACGTCCCCACAACAGTGGAATGGTAACTAGTTCACGAGCATCATCATTTTTCACAAGCGCAGAAATCTCACGTGGAGACAATATACTAGAGAGTGTACTGTAGAACCACATAACTTTTTTTTCCCCTTTTCATTACATAAATTTCTCTCTGTTTCGACAAANAATATGTAATCAGATTTATTTAGAAATTTGCTCAGTCACATATAAAATGGGAGGCAAACCTGAACCTTGTCAGACTTTTATCAATAGACCACAACTTAATTGAATACCACTGATGCTCAATAAAATTACTAAAAAAATAATTTAAGTCTGATGTCTGCTTGAATAGCATGTATTGGTTTTGTTTGGTAATCAGTGGTTAGCTTTAGCGGATAGCGAATTGTAATAGCTGTTTTGACCAGCTGATAGTATTGGCTGTTTTGACCAGCTGATACTGTTAGCGGTTCTAAAAAAGATGTTTGGTTAAATAGCTGATTGATTTGTAAAATATATTTAATATTATTAACTTACTTATTTTGTTATATATTTAAATATTTAAAAAGCAATAATACCAATTGTATTTATGTTTATTTTTTGTAATCAACAAAAGTTAAATTGATTCTTAAATTAAATTAAGGTTTAATATTATTAACTTACTTATTTTGTTATATATATAAATATTTTTTTTTTTTTTCCGAAACGATAGAGATATTATATCACATAAAATCAGCCCCCGGCTGAATACAGACAGCTAACAGCTGAATACAAGCAGCCAACAGCTGAAAAGTGGGAGGACAGGTCAGAAGACCAGCCTAGATAACCGACCCCAACAGGGTAAAATAAAAAAAACTACACACAAATACAAAGACCCCAACAGGGTAATACCCGAGTGTAGGATCCCAACAGGATAATAAGGTTACACTCGGGCAAACTGAGGCCAACGGCCCAGACCAAAAAACACAATCACACAATCTAAAAACCAAACAAAAACACGCAACTACTAATCAAAAAACAATAACACTACTAATCAAGCCCTTCCATAGAAGCTAACACCTAACCGAGCCAGCAGAAACAAGACGGCTGTGAATCCCGCTACCAGATGAACCGACCCCGAAACTGCCTAAACCACTCGGTTGCCTAACGGTGACGACACCCTAGCCTCGGAACAACACCAAGCCACCCTGCACCACGGCCAAAACACCCAATTGCCCCGAACCGACAAAGGAATGCGATGGCCACAGCCCCAACCAAGAACCGCCTGAAAGTTGACCAAAGCTCCACAATACCGCATCACCTGACCGACCAACACCTGTGGCAGAAGAAAACGGCGGACCCCTGCAACCCAAAAGCCGAGAAACAGAGGGGAGACTTCGAGCCAACAACACCTCAATCGCCCAGCCACCAAAGAACCAAACAATTGAAACGCTTCCCACCCCCAGAACGGCGCCACGACTCCACCACCACCCAATAGAGAAGCCAATTACCTCGAAGTCGCGAATCGGCGCCGGAAAATCCGAAGCCCTAACACACCGGACGAGGTTATGCTTCAAGGGCATCGGGTAGCAGAGCGGAAAATTGGGGACAAGATCCAGGCGGTCAATGGCCGGCGACCGCCGGCGGAGCGCGGAGGCCTCTATGGAAGGCAGACGGATTTTACTCGGAGGAGACGAATGGGCGAGGTTTTTTTCTTCAGAGCTTTTTGCGAACAATCCTATATATATAAATATTGAAAAGGCAATAAATACCAATTGTATTTATGTAACTATTTTTTGTATCAACAAAAGTTAAATTGATTCTTAAATTAAATTAAGTTTTCATACTTATATAATTAAAGTATAATAATAGAAAGAATATAAATTAAAAATATAAAATGTGGTTTAATGTACTTAAATACAAATTGGTATTTGAAAATGACAACAAAATTTTCATCATTATCTTTCAAATAGCCCATTAACTAAAATTTAAAAAAAAAAATGATAGCAACAATGCATGAAATAAACGCAAGAAATTAAATGTGCTAATTAAAATTATTTTTGGTAATTAAATATTTTTATTAATTATCAATATTTTAATTACTTTTAACAATATTATAATAATTTAATATTTTTTTATTTAATCATTGCTATAATTGCTTAAATGACCAACTGATTGTGTTAACAGTTTGTAAAAGAGTATTTGGTAAAATTGGTTATTTTTAATTAGCTGTTAACATGTAAAATACTTATAAGGACATCAACATACTTTATCATTCATATTTATGTTGAGCTTATCATTATTTAAGAAATAAAAACAATTAGTTTTTTAAATATTTACCAAAGTAATTTCAAATATAATAAAAATAAATATAACACAAGGAAGGCATTCAAACGAAAATAAAGTTAAAAAAAAAAGTAAATATATTTGCATAACAATAACAACCATAATTAAAAACATGGTTTTCCATTCAAGTTGTATCAATATATTCAATATAATAATAAACATCTATTACTATATAATACAGTTAAGAAAAAAGATTTGAAAAACTTCGAAAAAATTAATTCAGTTTCCCGCTTTTTAATATCATTTTCCTGCTTCTATTTTTCGTTCTTTACCATTTTTCGGCAAATTTTTTTGAAATGTTTTGCATGTCCCGCCCATTCAATTCGGTAACCAATAAAATCGGATAGTATATTGTTTGTGCATGCGATATTTTGTGAAGATTAAATTTTCAAAGTAATTGGATCCGATTTCCATGCGTGTGGGAACAATCTTTTCAAAAAAATTGGGACGTGATTTACTTGCCAAACAGAATCAGATATCGGTTGTATACACTTTTGCAATAATTTAATAATATAATAATATGTTGAATGATTTATGCGTCCGATTCATACAAAGAAAATTTTTAAAAGATTTCTAAAATCATGGTTTGTATATATCATCTATCCACCAATTGAATTTCTTTATACATTATCGGTTTGAAAAGGAAAACGAATATAATTTATATATCTTATCCATTTTGATAATACAATGTTATAATCATTGTCATTATTTATTTTAAAATATAATGTTTATTATTTATTTTCTTTCAAATTTTGTATAGTAAATCGATTTTTCAAAAGATAATGTTTATCATTTATTTGCTTCAAAATTTTGTATAGTAAATCGATTTTTTTTTTTTTTCGTATAAACAAAATATAAATTTGTTATGCAAAATCTTTATGTGCGTTGGCATATTACTAAAGAAGTCGGTTCTTAGCTACGACCAATTATATGTTGTTGTTTTACGTGTAAGTAATAGATAGGAGCTGTGCATTGACACGTTCTTAAAAAAATCAGCTTTTGATCACGACCAATTATATGTTTTTGTTACGCGTGTAAGTGATAGATAAAGAAGAGTCAAGGCCAGCCTTTACTATAAGTTGGCCCGTTTTTAAAGAAATCTATTTTTAGCATGGACAATTATGTTGTTTGTTTCGTGTGAAAGTACTAGAAAAGTGTTGAACTTATTAGTTTTGCGAGTTACTCAATTATTAAATAAATAATGTTGTGTACAAGAAAGTTTTTAATAATATATTTTTTTTTATGTGGAACATTTTATTATTTGACAATTTCCTTACGAATCATCACTCTTTTATTTATTGATACATTTCAATTTTTAATATTCTCCAAAATAAATACAGCCCGTGCATCGCACAGGTTACATACTAGTTAATAATATAAAGGAAAAACAAAAAGAAAAAAATGGGCCCACGAAAGGCATCCATTTAACCAATTGTAATGGAAAAAGAAAAGGATCATTTTGAAGGAAAAGAAAAAGTGGTCCATTTAAATACAAACGCCAATGTGAAACGCTGGTATTTTTTGCGTTTCCAATTTAGCTTTTTTAGACGAAAAGCTGTATGAAAAAACTATTCAACCAAACATGTATATTGGCATAATTTTAGCATTTTTGGCTCGGTCAAAACCGCTAAACAGCAGTTTGGCCAAAACGCCAAAAAACATACATGGCTATTGTTTGTTGGGAATTGGAATAATCTAATCTGTAAGTTTGTTTGTCATGATATTTTAATGGAAAATGCTATATGTACATAATAGTGTACATAAGGTGTATATAACACTCATATTGAGTTTAATAAGACTCACTCAATGTGAGTGTTATGTACACCTCTATATACATTTATTATGTACATGTAGCATTTTCCTATTTTAATTATCTTTAACTCTTACTTATAAAAAGATTGTAAGAGCATCCTCATAATGACACGTGGCTTTGTTTGCTGATAGGCCACGTCGGCTGTTGCTAAACGACTGCGTTTTGCTTGGGTCCGAAATGGTGTCGTATTTTTGTCTGGTGTCATCAACAACGCTTTCAAAATTTCATGTCCTCTTTATGTCTAAAAAAAAATTAAAAAATAAAAATAAAATAAAATAATTGCACGTCTTGCTCAACGCAGTGTGGTCTTCTGCCAAATGGGTGCCAAAAACGATTTCATTCTTTTTCATGGTATGATGTTTGTCTTTCATTCCCAGTGTTATGCCTATGGTTTCTACGTTTCTAAGAAATTATTGTCATTATGTTTTGCGTGTCTGCACTGAAGATGCGGGGGATTGTTGTTGGATTTTGACTAGAAAAACTTAATTGCTTTTTTTTTTTTTTTTATCCCCTGTTATGTTCAATTCTGTATTTCCAGTTTCAGACTTTCAATGGAGCTCTAATTGAAGTTGCAATCAACATTAAGTTTGCTAGGGTTTTTGATTTTTAAACTTTTATGTTTTCTCTTCAAAGTGACGGAGCACAACAATGTGGATGATGCAGCGGTAACATGAGGGAAAACAAAAAAACAGGGAAGTTGGTTGTTTCACTTTGTTTTTTATATTCTCTTTTTCATTTTATGTTTATTGTTTGCCATTGGAGTGTGTTTGCTTGTGTTCTGCTGGGGTTCTTTGCTATGAGATATATTGGATTTTTTTTTAAAATTAAAACGAGAAGGTCGAGAGGATCGCCAGAAGCTTCTCATATCATAATTACATTGAGATCTTTCTGTATCTTATTGCAGGGATTCTTAGAATTTTTTATTATAATTTCCACTTTGTTGTATGAAATGATGACTTCATGCAGTATTTTATATGTTTATTGATGATTTGATAGAACCACACCAAGTGAATTTTAGCCATTATTATATTACAAAAAAATGAGGTATGTCTTACATTGTATGCTTTATTTTATTTATATTTACATTCTATACCTTTCTATAAAAGGAGTTTGTCTTTAAGTAGTGCTTTCAGAGAAAAATATCTACTAAAGCAGGTAATTTCTTTCTCCTCATGTTATACGGATTGCTTTAGATTTATCTGAATTTTTTCATCCTGTTGAAGCTATGTTCAATTTTTCATCCTGTTTTTGTGCCGTAGCTTACTGTGGTTGGTTGCAATAAACAACACAGTTTTATTTCTGTTTTCTATACTGTATGACTATATTGTCTTCATATCTTTGTAGGTGAGTTTCCTTTTGAGATAGTTAAAATCATCTGTGTTTGTTTATCAGTTCAGGAATTATGGTGGTTTTCCTTCTGTTTGCCATTTCTTCATCTTTATATTTTTATGGTCAGTTTATCTTAAGGGATTTTTAGTGAAAATGAGTTTCTTAGGGATATGCAATCTAAGAAATCTAATATTAAGATGTGTTTGTTTTTGGTATATGTTAAAATGGGTTATTTGTTGGCTTTTGTCTTTGTGTTTTGTCAAGAAACTTAGACACTTTTACATTATATGTTCCACTTCATCTATTCAAGACTAACCTGCTCTCGTGAGAATAGAGAGATATGTGAATATTAAATAGTAGTTGTGCACACGGTAGGTTTAAGGTGGGTTCTTTTTTCTTTTTTAGGGGTGTTTTTCCTGTTACTTTTGTATGAGGTATTGCAAATGTTTGATGTTAAGGTTTCTGGGCAATTTCTAAGTTATTTAGGTGCATATGTTGTAGAAAAAGTTGCTCTGATTATATGTATTTGTAACTGTATAGCAACTAATTGATTTACTTGAATATGTATTTTGTTGTTTGTACATTCTTGCTCTATCAGTCTCTTGCCAAACGAATCAAAACGCTGTAACTGTTCGTCGTTTGCTACTACCAGGTTAGCCAGCTATTGTCCAAAACTCATATTTTGTGTAAGATTTTTTTAGTTATATATTTGCTTTACTTTACTTTATATGAGTTTAATTATATATATTAATCTTAATTTGTTCTTTATAGCTATATCTTGCTAATATAAGTGTCCTTTTTTACTGTATTTGAAGTTTAATGGTTTTTTATGTTGTACGATAAAGTCTTATATCTATAATTAGGTTATAGCTTCAATTTGTAAAAATCTGCTTATCATTGTGTTGTTAAAATTGATTGATGCATATATGTATGTAGGAATAACAGGTTTATCATATTCAATCTATTCACTGTTTTGTTGGTTTTAATGTTGCGTAGCAGGGGTCTTTTTAGCTCTTAAAAAGTAGCAGGGGTCTTTATAGCTCTTAAAAAGTAATCTACTTTCGTTAAACTCAATAACGACGGTTATATCAAAAAGATAGTTGTTTCCATAGTAATATAAGTTTATATTAAAATAGCCGGTACTTTTTAGGGGGTTTATTTCTTATGTTCTTTTAGGAAAACTTTAATTTTTCTAGGTTTTTTTTTCCCACATTAATTTAATTTGCACTTTAGTCTGGTGTTAAGAGTTTGTGTTCTATAGACAAATATTCTAAAGATGTTTAGTTCTCCAAAACATAATACAAGTGAACTGTTGACTTCTGGAATGGCTCTATCTAAAAAAAGATATCGATATCATGCTATTCAAAGATGGAAAAACAAAAAAAGGCGCACTTTGCTTGCAACTGAAAATACACATACATTAATGTACAATCCTGAAAATGCTCTTTGGCATACTATATTACATAATTCTGCAGGTTTACACACCCATAGATCGATGGAATCTGTACAATGTAAGGGGTATCAATTAACAGAACCTGCTATATATTATACACAGGAAACGTTGGCTAAACAAACTAAAAATCCAACAGTTGTGGGGCCTTTGTTTGAAAATACATCTACATTTACATTTAATGCCAGCACAGGGAAACTGAATACAATTGAAAAGTTGAGAGATAAGAAAAATAAACAAACATGTTCTCAAAACAAAAATGTTTTAACAGTAAATCAACATGAGACTGTTAAGCCTCTGCCCACAAAAAAATATACAACTCTGTGTCTAGAAATAAACCATAGAACCAGAAACTCATCATCTAAAAGTGCTCAACAGTCATCCTCTGAGTGCTACACTAATTTACGTGAAGTGCAAGAATTAGGTGAACCCACAGCGTCGTCGTCGCGTAGGAAAGGTAATAATTTTCAATGAAAATATACAGCATTCTAACAATCTAACTGAACATAATTTATTTGTAATTACTTTTTAAGTTATACTCTCATCTAATCTATGTTAAACAACAGGTACATGTACAATTAATAAATCAAGGTTAACAGGTACAGTGGAGCAGAAAAAATTATCTTAGGTTTTCGTGGGAAATAATTAAGATTAACTAATAGACCATGGCTATCACCTGTATTTATGTTAGGTAACTCTCAGTCAGCACGGCATAACCTTTTGGATAATATTGCAGGTGAGTCTTTTATATTTTCTAAACGAAAAAATTGTCCATACTGCAATGCTGTTAAATTTCCGTATGAATCATGTAAGTTTTGTTGCTCCGATGGTAATATAAAATTAGCACATAATCCATTGCCAGAAATTTTGAAAACACTACTTTTCTCATCAACCGAAGAATCCAAGTTGTTTCGAGATTGCATACGAACTATAAATAACCAATTTGCATTTACATCATTGGGAGTAAAATGTGATAACAATTTAACCCGGCGTGATAAAGGGATTTATACTTTCAGAATACAAGGACAGATGTATCATTTTTTGAATGATTTGGAGGCTTCTCAAAATTTACAATTATATTTCCATGATACTGAAAATGAGATTACTAATCGGATGAAAGCTTGCCCTAGATTAACAGAATCAATAATACAAAAAATCATGACTGTGCTAAAGGAAAATCCTTATGCAAAATTCTGTAGAAGTCTTAGCGAACTATCCAATTTCGATGATTATAAAATAATATTGCGCACTTTTCCGAAAATTGACCAAAGAGTTTACAATAAACCAGAATCATCTCAAGTAGCAGCCTTATGGGTTGATAATGATGATAGAGAAGAACCATCTGAAAGAAACATTCGGATATATAGCCATAGCGGCATTTCACATAGAATACAATATTACTATGGTTGTTATGATCCACTTCAATATCCTTTACTTTTTCCTTTTGGTGAACTTGGATGGCATCAAGGTTTAGAAAAATTAGGGAATATTGTTTCCCAAAATACTTCAAGAATAGCACAATCATATCACAGGATTTCGCCTAGAAATCTAGAATCTGCTCAAGAGTTAATCGAAGCTGAGGATGGTAAGTAACATTATAAAATAGTTTAGAACTGTGTTATATTTTCCAAAAATTCTTTCAATGTTTTTTTTCTCTGAGATAATACTAACATATAACAATTTACTTTTCAGCCAACACTAAGACAAGAGGCAATAGAAATTTTATTTTCATGAGAGATTATTATGCTTATAAATTGCAGATGAGACAAGATGACAGATCCTATTTATTAAATTTTGGTAGATTATTTCAGCAATATATAGTTGATGTGTATGTCAAAATTGAGTCACAAAGATTAGATTTCTTTAAGTTTCAGCAAAATGAGATAAGACAAGAATTTCTACAGGGGATACAAGATAGTCTAGCAGCAGGTGAAATAAATGCATCAAAAATAGGCCAAAGAATGTTTTTACCTGCCAATTTTATTGGAGGTCCAAGAAACATGAAAAAAAGATATTTAGATGCAATGACATTAGTGCAAAGGTTTGGTAAGCCCGATATTTTTTTAACTATGACATGCAATCCCAGTTGGCCTGAAATAAAAGAAGTTTTGACTGAAAACGAAGAAGCACATAATAGACCAGATTTAATATCAAGAGTTTTTCGTGCTAAACTTGAGGAATTAAAAAAGGATATACTTAAAAAAAATCTCTTTGGAGAAGTAGTAGCATACACATATGTTATAGAGTTTCAAAAAAGAGGACTTCCGCATGCTCACATGCTATTATACTTGCAAAAGCAGATAAATTATATAGCCCTGAAGAATTTGATAAAATTGTTGCTGCTGAAATACCAAACAAAGAAACACAACCTCATTTGTACAATATGGTTAAGAAACACATGATGCATGGCCCATGTGGAGAATTAAATGAAAGTAATTCATGTATGACAAGTGAGAAGAAATGTAGATTTAATTATCCAAAACCATTTTCTGATCGTACTGTGCAAATAAGTAATTCATATCCAAAATATCAAAGATGAAATAATAACGTTAAAGTTAAGGTTCGAGGACAAATGTTAGATAATCGATGGGTCGTACCATATAATCCATATTTACTTGCAAAGTTCAACTGCCATATTAATGTAGAGGTTTGTTCAACAATCCGATCTGTTAAGTACATTTATAAGTACATTTGTAAAGGTCATGATAGAATAGCATTCATGTTGACACATCTAATCAAAATGTGCAAATTGATGAAATTGAACAATATAGAACAGCACGTTGGGTTTCTCCACCTGAAGCTGCGTGGAGGATTTTCAGATTCCCAATAAGCGAAATAAAACCGTCTGTTATTAATTTACCTGTTCATCTAAAAAATTATCAAACAATAAGCTACAGAAAAAAAGATAGACTAGATAGAATTGTAAATAATCCAAGAAATCATAAAACCATGCTTACTGAATTTTTTTATATGAACAGAACTGATCCATATGCACAGTCCCTTAATTTAACATATGTAGAATTCCCTGAGTACTTTGTTTGGCTGCCTGATGAAAAAAAATGGAAAAAAAGAACTGGAAAAGATTCTATAGCTAGAATAGTAACTGTACATCCAAATGAAGGGGATAGATATTATCTTAAGTTACTCTTGCTACACGTTAAAGCTCCTAAATCTTACATAGACATAAGAACTTTCAATAACAAAGTTGCTTCGTCTAATCGTGAGGCAGCTCTTTTAAGAGGACTCTTACAGGTTGATAACACCCAAGATCTTTGCCTTCAAGAAGCTTCTATTTTTAGAATGCCTTATGAAATGAGAAGACTTTTTGCTAATCTTCTTGTTTATTCATGTCCTAACAACCCTAGAGAATTGTTCTTCAAGTATGAAAATGCTATGTCTGAAGATTACGCGCGAAACTTACATTTAAGCAAATTAGATATTAGAAAAAACGTCTTACAGCAAATAAATGGTTTTCTAGAATCTATGGGGAAAAATATTCATTCATTCCATATCTTGCCCGATGATATTGATTTACAGATTGAAGAACACAATCGAGAAATAATAGCCGAAAAAAATATAACTGTTTGTCAAGAAGATTTAAATGCCATACAATCACTTAATCGAGAACAAAAACATGCTTTTGATATTATACTAGAACGAGTTTATAGTGGAAAACCAGGAGCTTTTTTTATTGATGGCCCAGGTGGGACTGGCAAAACATTTCTATATAGAGCTCTTTTGGCTGACATTAGATCAAAAGGTTATATAGCACTAGCTACTGCTACTTCTGGTATTGCAGCATCTATACTACCGGGTGGTAGGACAGCACATTCCAGATTTAAGATACCAATTAATATGTCTGAAGGAAAAACATGTAAAATTAGCAAACAAAGCAATTTAGCAAATTTAATTAGGGAAAGTAAATTAATCGTATGGGATGAAGCACCAATGTCTAAAAAAGCATCAATAGAAGCACTTGACAAAATGCTAAAAGACTTAAACAGAATCACCTGATATCTTTGGAGGTAAAGTCATTGTTTTTGGCGGTGATTTTAGACAAATATTGCCTGTTGTTCGTAGAGGGAATAAACACGATACTATAGATGCATGCATTACGAATTCTTATATTTGGCCATTACTAGAAAAAATTCAACTAAAAGAAAATATGAGGGCTCGCCTCGATCCAGCGTTTACAGAGTATTTGCTAAGAATTGGAAATGGGTTAGAACCTACACATAATAATAGCTCAATATATTTGCCTCCTTCCTTTATAATCAAAGCCCAAGATACAGAAAATGCTTTGGAAGAGTTAATCAAAATAACATATCCTCAGTTCTCTATTACAGATACAACGAATAACATACAAAGCAATACAGGAAATGACATACACCTAAATTATTCAATGAACAGTGCTATTTTGTCTACAAAAAATTGCTTCGTGGATGAAATAAATAATAGACTCATCAATGACTTCCCAGGAGAAATGGTCGAGTATCTTAGTTTTGACGAAGTATTGAACCCTATTCATAAAGGCCTTTATGAAGATATAATAAATACTCTAACTCCTGGTGGTATGCCACCTCATAAACTACAGTTGAAGGTCAATGCCCCTATTATACTTCTTAGAAATTTGGATCCTACAGAAGGTTTGTGTAATGGAACAAGACTTATTTGTAAAAAACTAAGCAGAAACGTTATCCATGCAGAAATAGCTATAGGAGACTTTAAAGGAAAAAGTGTATTTATTCATAGGATTCCATTAAAACCTTCGTCTGACGACCAAGTTCCTGTGCCTTACACAAGAACACAATTTCCCATACGCCTTTGTTTTGCTATGACTATTAACAAAGCACAAGGACAAACTCTAGAGTCTGTAGGTATTTACTTAAAAGAACCAATTTTTTCGCATGGACAACTATATGTAGCTTTGTCACGAGCAAAACAATCTACGACAATTAAGTTTGTGATAAAGCCACCATTCTTTGATCCAGAACGCATTGACGTCACAAAAAACATAGTATACCATGAAGTTCTTGAAGCCGCTGCGGTTACACAACGTACTTTACTATATATTCTTTTTTAGCTCAAAACATACTCGATTTGCTTATTATTGATTAGTCTAATTCATATGAATCACAACTATTTTTTATATACCTTCATGTGCTTCTCACAATTTTTACTATTATATGCAGATCATAATGTCACGACCATACCTGCCAATTAGCCAAATTACAAATGAAACAAAAAACTGGACTGCACTCATTCAGGTTGTCGAACGGCCACCCGTTCAAACAAGCAAAAATGATTCCTCTATGCTTTACCGCAGATATTTGTTCACCGATGAAGAGGTATAAACATATGATTTTTTCCCTGTTTACATATACAAATACAAAAATACAAAATGTAATAACTAAGGATTGGTCATTAATATTTTATACAGGGGACAAAGGTTTCTGCAGTGGCTTATAACGAAGTTATCGACGAATTTGCTGAACTTCTTATGCCGTACAAGAGGTACTACCTCACTGGAGCAAAGGTTCGACATGAAGTTCCTTTGTATCAAGTTGGTGATTACAAATACAATTGGCTTATAAATACAAGAACTTACGCCGAAGAATACCAAGAATCCATACCTCCACAACTTCCGTGCCTAATTGATGTCCATGCCTTTGCAAACATACACAAGTATGCTGACACAGAAAACCCAAGGAGTAAGTTTATTATGCACAACCATGCAACTTATTAAGCAATTACTATTATGCAATCATCAAATAAACAACACACAATATAGCCTGCCTTAACTTTTAGTTTTTCTTCTTTATTTTTTGTTTTAACACAATGTATATTGTGTTAGATCTTTTGGCGGTTGTCGTCCATGCTTTTCCAGTGAGGACTCTTGGTAGAAACAACAAAACAAGGGACCTGGTCATTGTTAATCAAGAGTAAGAAATCTTTTTTAAATGAATCAACTATATTATATAACTCTTTATTTGACTTTTAATATTGTACAGAGAAAAGCCAATGCTCTTAACACTATGGAATCAATTTGAAGAAGAGCAAGGTACACACTTGGCTAATACGATAGCGGCTGGAAATATTCTTCTTGCTATGCGAGTTAGGGTTGTCACATTTAATGGTAAAACTTAGCATTAATCGTTGCTTCACAAATCACAACTTACTTGAAATAACAAACCATGACATTTTTTTTTCTTTTTATTTTTTTCTCTGGAGGTCTGTCATTGTCTACAAAAGGTGGGACTTGTTTGATGGTCAATCCGCCAATGTCTGCAGCCGCTGAATTAAAGCAATGGTAAACTCATTTTAAACTATATTTTATTTTCTAAAACACAGATAACCAATCTAAATACATTGATCTTAAAAAAAATCTTAAGACTCTATGTAGGTACACTGAAAACAAAAATCGTGTGACACAGCTTGTGAATGAAGAAACTTACACGAATACGGATAAGCTCATCCCAATGCCTGAAATGACTGATGTGAATACTATTGCCGATGCATTGGCGTCAATCAGATATGTAAGCATTACGCATTTCCTGAATTCCTAAAACAACAATGCTCATTCATGTTTTTGCTTTTCATTTTTTTTTTAAAATAACAATGGGGACAGGTGAAAATTTGTTGGATTAGCGGCAAAATCAAATTCGATAATGACAATAGACCTTTGTGGGCTACCGCATGCCAGATTTGTCGTAAAAATTACAACATGCCCCCGAACACTCCAATGAAATGCCGTAGTTGCGGAGAAGACTCTCATGTAGAAGCGAGGTATCATTTACGCATAAAATTTCATTTAATAAAACACACATTATTATAAATTAATTCGCAATCAAATAACTATTTAACTACATTAGGTGCCGGTTGCCAGTAACAATTCAAGATAAAACTGGAACCATATATGCAGTCATATATGGTGCTGATGCAGAACAATTAGTCCCTTACAATGGCAATCAACTTTATGAGGCAGACCAGCAGGTACTTATATCATAAATATTTACTTACATATTTTCTGCTAATGTCATTACTATAAAATAATACTGATTTTTTTTTAAAAAAAAAATCCTGCTTCACTCTTTTAATTTCCCACTTTAGATGTTTTTTGCTTTGCACACGGCTAAAAAAAAAATACAGATTATTGTTACTTTGGTTACACAAAAACTCTGTAATTTAACTTTAAGTTACTCAACTTATCTTGATTATCATTTTAAAAGTAGCATCATAGAACCTGTTCATAGATTTATGGGAAATTACTAAAGATGAAAGAGTAAATATACTAAGATGAAAATTAAACAAATAATAGATTCATTGGAAAAAAAAAAAAAACACAGATTTTCTGAACCAACCATTGAAATAACTTTCATACATTGCATTACAATTATCTGCAGGGCCATGACTTAACTCAACAAATTGCTGCATCAGTCGCACAACACCAAGTCATCTGCTTCATTAAACATTCTGAGTCAACTCACCACACAATAATCAAGCTTTACACTGGTGAACTGATGATGGTGCAAGGGAATATAACTAATCCAAAATCATCTGCCAAAGAGCCCTCCACATCAACACCATCAAAGGTATTACATAACATATTAGATCTACATCCACTTCATATTAAAAAAATATATTACACTTATGCCTAATTTTTATAAAACAGGCAGCCGATCCAATTTTCTTTAGCCCGACGCTCAAAAATGTGTTAGAGTCAATTGATGTAAAGACTGAGAAAACACTCCTTCTTCCAACTACAGAAAGCTCAGCCAAAAAACGCATTACCTTCGACAGCGAACAAGTCACCACACAAACAGCCACCTCAAGTACACCCCAGTCCTCAAAATCAAACGTTCAAGCAGAACACAATCCCACTACAAGTCGACTTTGTGCCTAAACTTTTGCTTTTGCTGTCCTTTTGCTTTTGCTGTCATGACTATCATGAAACTGTTTATTTGTTTTTTTTTTTTTTTAGGGACAACTTAACAGAATTACAAACATCTATTTAGAAGTAGATGTTTTAAATTCTGCAAATGTCCTGTTATGTATGCCATCTTTTGCAGACTGCCACTTTCTACTACTTGTTTTGTCGCCTGTAACCATAATTACAACAGTATGCTTCTTTTGGTACCTGCTATGCAATTTCCAAGTGTTTCGCAATTGCTTTTACATACAATATTAGTACATGTTGCAAAAATGCGTGAACAACCATCAATTTACCTCCGTGGGCCCGCCGTGCACGAGAGCGTCCTAGTCTATTGATATACATTGACCTGAGTATTATAAATGTTTAAAAGAAAGAAGTATATTTATTAATGCAGTGGGGATGCACATGGTACGTACTATGAGACCACAAATTCCAATTTTTGGAAAGTAGTATCAATATTATAAAATTCTGTATTTCAAAATATTGCAATGTTGTGTTGACAACAACCTAATTTTNAAAACCTAACCTTAAAATAATCACAAAAAGAAACGAAATTAAACCAAAAAGAAGGAATACATAAGCAGTATAAAGGTCAAAAGAGAGGAGGAAGATTATTGAGTGAAGTATTGGACCGAGGTCTTACCTGTCAATTGCGTCGCCTACTTCAATATTATATGTGGCTCCATCTCCCAACAACCACTAGTACACTACTACTGCGCGTAATGACACGCGCTTACCATAAACCGTTATTCTCTAAAATCATCATCTCATTCAATTAATCCTGATTATGTACATTTTTGTTCTCTAACCATACGAAATTTTTGTAAGAAAACAATCAACAGCTTCAATGACTTAAAGTTTTAACCAACAATTATGAAACAATAATTTAATTAACTGAGTGATTTCTAAAAATAAGCACATTTGATATTGAACAGACTAGTAAGTGAGTAACGGACACGCATACTGATATGTGATAGAAACAAATTTCACTTGGTCTTGATTCGAGCTAATGCAACGAGATCTGTTTTTTTCTATCTCGAACGTCCTCCAAACCTATAACAACTCAACACCAGAAGAAGGTGTTCTTCGACGAAGAGCCTCCGATGCTTAAATCAAAGATGATGAACAATAACTGAGTATATAAAAGTGTGTAGAGAATGTAAATATTTAAATAACCTATCACACCCTTATATAGGGGTGGGATGTCTTATTCTCCAAGTGTATCCGGAGAATCGACCCTGTTGCGGAACAGCCCGTCCCTACTCTAAAATAATTTTTGTTGTTATTTTATTTAATTTAAATATAATTTTCTCAAAAAATAGCCGTAAGAATAATGTGAAGACGCGTAAGATAGAAATTGGCCTCTTAAAAAACGCCCACAATAAATGCTGGGAAGCTTTACAATCCACACACCAAATGCTCCCTCCTCACAACCAAAACGTCACTCAAATGAAACATGGGCCGCGCAACTGACTGGTTTCGCTCGATTTGGACCTCCAAACCCAAGAAGATTAAAAGCAAGCGGGCCCTCCCGACCTCCGGCGATAATTCCGGCCAGTCCAATAATCGTTCCGAGGACCCTTTGGCGAGTCCCTTCGTCGTCGAGGGTATCGATGCCAACAAGCACGCTATAGCCGTGGCGGCGGCCACCGCGGCAGTGGCCGAGGCTGCTCTTGCGGCGGCCCAGGCGGCGGCGGAGGTTGTCAGGCTAACCAGTGGTGGCAGGAGTGGGAGGGGCGAACCAGCCGATCGGAGGCTAGTGTGGGCGGCCGTCCGGATTCAGTCTGCTTTTCGAGCCTATTTGGTTCGTATATTTTTGTTTACGTCGTCTTTGTTTTAGTTTCTTAAGATTTGATCTAATTTTAGTTTCCAATTGATAATGTTTCTTGAAAGTTTTTCTGTTTCTAATTAACTGTTCACGTTTCAACAGAAAGAATGAACCATAGATTTTTTTTTTCTTTTCAAATTTTTTATTTTCAGTTTATTGTTCGTGATAATCAACATATATCGATGCATTATAATAAATTAAAACACTCCTGACATTGATATGTTTATCTTTGAAATAAAAAATTACACATAGCAATTGATTCTGGGTTCTCTAAGTGATATCTCTGTTGCAATTCAGATATGCCAAAATACAAACAAATATGAAGGGATAGCTAGCAATATTGAAGAAGTGTTGAATTTTTTTCATTGATTTTGATATTTTTTTGCTAATTAACATTTTCTCCTTTGGGTTTATACATAAAACCCATTACATATAATAGAGTTAAAATGTCAGCAGTGGATTTACTTTCATAATAAAGTAAATATGGATGGACAAGAAATATGATCAGTTACTGTCTACCTAAATTCATTTCAGGGAAAATTTGGCAAACTAAATGATGAAAACCTTTATCCTTTGGCATGAGATCCCATCTTTACTTTTCTTGGATTACATGGTGAAAGCCATTTTCCTGTTTATCTATTTGCAGATTTCCAGTGTGTGGGCATGTGTATGATTCTTGTCACATATTTTGATCACACACATTCTGACAATAGATGTCCATATTACCATACCCCTCAGAAATATTCACCTTTAATTATTAATTAAAAAAGAACTTTTATTTATTGGGGAAAACTACAGTTGATTGTACATAGGTCATATTAAGGTAGTGGGGAAGACTGAAAGTGGGACTCAAAGTCCTCCAAAGCTAGTAGCTTTGACACCTCACAATCACAGATAAGTGATTCTTTTTTCATCTAACAGATCTTTAGTACTATTTTTCTGGGTTGTAAAGGAACTTTCCCCTTTT